ATTTACGATGTCATTAAGCCATTTGATAGATGTACCGCGGAACAAGTCTCTGGGTGAGTAGCCGGTGATAGTAACGTTAGGCTATAGCATGAGAAGACGCGCTCCGTTGTAGTCAGCACTTGGTCGATTAATTTTGACATTTTCTAAGTAAGTTAGCCCATAGGCTAGAAATAAATGAACACGCATACAAAAATATCTTTCGTCCTGTAGGCGTCCTGGAGAATATTTCTGTTCGTCCTAAACACATTTTCTATCGTCCCCAGGACGATAGGACGCCGTTAGTCTCGAGCCCGTCATCCCAACACATCCCAGAAACATTCGGCTCAACCAATGGTGCTAATTTGGGGCAAGGCTTTCTGTTCACTGACCAATGGCAGTCAGGAAATGATCAGTCTGCTACGGGCACAGAAATGCCCCATCTTTAAACCTCTCCAAAACCTCTCACTTCAAAGTAAACCGCCTATTCAAATATAATAATCATTTTATGTGATCGTATGGGTATTTTAATATAGTATGTAGCACCGGAGGGAAGAGAGGTGCTGATATGAATAGGGATTTGCCCTCCACAGTGAGTCGTGTGAAGAGAAAGAGTGATCCATCACAGTCAGGCTCTTTTCTGTATGTCTATGGGGAGATGAAGATGCTGGAAACAGAAGCATAGTCCTCTCTCTCTCTCTCTCTCTCTCTCTCTCTCTCTCTCTCTCTCTCTCTCTCTCTCTCTCTCTCTCTCTCTCTCTCTCTCTCTCTCTCTCTCTCTCTCTCTCTCTGAACACCCAGGGCACTGAGTGCACCACATTCACTCATTACATGCCTGTTAATCCAACTGACCAGTAATTACTGGGCAACGTTTGCATTCCAAAAAAGCATTGATCATCTAGCGATAGAATTTAGGCATTTAAAGGAACACTCCGACTTTTTGAAACTTTAGCCTATTCACCTTATCCCCCAGAGTTAGATAAGTCCATACATACCTTTTTCATCTCCGTGCGTGCTGTAACTCTACCTGACGCACCCACCGCTAGCCTAGCTTAGCACAAAGACTGGATGCAAATGGTTGCAGCTAGCATACTAATCCAAATAAGTGACAAAATAGCGCAAACATTTTCCTATTTACATGTTGTGATTTGTATAGTCACAGAGTGTACAAAAAACGAATTCACATGAGACACAGACATATTTTAACCGTATAAATACTGGGAACTATATTCTCTGAAGGCGAAGCACTGCTACTTGGGCGGAGTGATAACCGCAGCACCTGAGACGCGCTCTCTGCTCCTCACCACGGCGCGTCTCAGGTGCTGCGGTTATCACTCCGCCCAAGTAGCAGTGCTTCGCCTTCAGAGAATATAGTCGCCTTCAGAGAATATAGTTCCCAGTATTTATACGGTTAAAATATGTCTGTGTCTCATGTGACTTTGTTTTTTGTACACTATGTGACTATACAAATCACAACATGTAAATAGAAAAATGTTTGCGTTATTTTGTCACTTATTTGGATTAGTATGCTAGCTGCAACCATTTACATCCAGTCTTTGTGCTAAGCTAGGCTAGCGGTGGGTGCGTCAAACAGACTTATAGCACGCACGGAGATGAAAAAGGTATGTATGGACTTTTCTAACTCTGGGGGATAAGGTGAATAGGCTAAAGTCCCAAAAAGTCGGAGTGTTCCTTTAACAATTTAGCTTCATTGAATTTGAATCATTAATTGCAGGCTTCTTTAATTGCATTTTTGTTTAATGGCATAAACTGTATCCAAACTATTTTACTGTGATTTAGCACTGCATGATATATCAGATTCAGTACCATATCAATCATCGGCAGACATATTTTAAATGATCAAACTGTTGTGCTGCACAATATTTTTGTGGAAACCATGATATCGATTTTTTCAATATTCTTTGATGAATAGAATGGTAATGTACTATTTTAGATTTTAGTGTTACATGTTTATGTAATTGTACAAAATAGTATAGAATGCATAATATCAGCCATTTACAGCTTATCAGCCATAACATGAAAATAATTAGCGACCCACAGTATAAAACACATAGTCTAAGTATTTATTTATAAGATGCCTTTTCTCATGGTAATTCACATGCTTGTACCCAGAAATTACAATTTTATGATTGATTATGAATCTGTGAAATAATGTATGATTGTAATGGAAATTCAATGCCTAATTATTCAGCTCTGCTCTGAACTTCTTTAGTCAGTCTTAAAGAGTTTGAAGCAAATCTAGGCTGTGAGGAAGCTAAACATAGGTGCCCCATCAGACTGCTGCGCTTTCATGATATCGCTCACTTTCTGAGAGAAACCCCTTAGCGGTGAATAAAGAAAGGGCCTTGAGCAAGAGAGAAAGGCCAGAAGAGCTTGAAGAACTCCTGGAGTGTGCAGTTATCTGGCTTGCTAGCAAACATTTATTTAAAAAAAAAAGGCGGAAAAAGGTGATGTAGAGTTCTAGACTTTTAGCAAATGGATAATGGAATGGAATGAAGAGAGGCACTTAAAATATGCCTTCCCTTTAGTTCTTTTACTTCATATGTATGTCTATTTTTTTCTTTATTTTTTTTTAAAGACATAAACAAAAAGAAACAAATGCTGAACAGGATAAGGGTTTTGTGTAGTGGAGTCTATCCCAGCACAAATCCCTGTTCCTGGACACACAAAGACCTCAGGCTCAACGGTGTTTGTAGTGCAGTTGTAATGCGAAAGCGAAATGCATCCAGACAGACGAAGATGGGGGGATGGGGAACAGCCAACCGCAAACGCCTTAACCTAAACCCCACATTCTCACCCCCTCAATGTATCCCTCCTCGATTTATATGAGACGAGACGAACGCAAACCACCTGACCCCGCTCTCCAGACACTAATAAATGAATAGGCTAAATGCTGTTGAGCATGGTATGGTATATATGACTGCTCCTCTGTAGAAAAGAACACTTGTATTTCACAGTGGTAGGAAGTAATCTCATTCACGACGAACAAACAACCAGGCAAAAAACACATTATTTGCCTGGGCTACATAATGAGATTTATAAAGGAAGAAAAAAATCACAGCCAAATTTCACCAGCAACAGTCTTTGTTAACCATATTCATCATTTACAAATTCTTTCATAACACAATAAGTAAACATGCTTACTGTCTTATGGCAAAGTATTTAGAACAATAGCAGTGGGAAGAGGGAAAAACACGAGAGTGTGCTCAGACAGGTGTATACAGCTCCCTTTCCTGCTCGTGGTGACCCCCTGATGTCTTTTTGGTGGGATGGGAGGGGAGCTTTATGTCCATGATCTGGAGCAGATGGGGCTCCGTCTCTTGCCCACTGACATCTCTGCGGCTAGTCATCGGAACAGATGGGTACTGAGGGATCCTGGGATATTGCTAATCTGCTCCACCACAGCATTTAGAGATGGTGCATCCCCCTCAGTGTACACGCTTATATCGACAAATCAGCTTGAGTTTGAATTTGAATAGAGATGAATTATAGAAATAACTATGATTTAGACTGGTGTGATTCCAAGGGCGTCGTGCAACCTTTTTTTTTTTTTTTGGTGAGGAGGCACCAGATGCAATCCTATTTCACTTGCAAGATAAGACACGACCAAAGAAGGGAAAAAAAACAATTTAACATTGTTACTCTACTTATGCAATATCTGTTATAAAGCACAAGTATTTATTCATATATAATTATTTTTAACATGGATATCTAAAACTTTTTTTATTTTTTATAAGTGCTTGCAGAACTGCAAAACAAATATTCCACAGTTTGTCTACTGACAATGTTATAGGAATAGCATAAGATAAATGCACATGTGAAATTTGAAGGGTGACATGTATTTGCTTTATTAATTGCCAGGTAAATGATTATACACATGATACTGGAAGTAAATCCTTTCTTTCTCCATCAAATATTTAAGACTATACCCTACAAGGTAAGGTATCAGTACTATTCTAATTTTAACCTAAAGGTACTGACAAATGCCAATAAGTAGGACAACCCCCTCCTTAAAATCCTAATAAATGTAAATCTAATAAAAGCTGGAATTCTGTCACATGGGAGAAAGCAGCTCTGCACTTCAACAGACAAACAAGAGAGAACAGGACAGTGAATTCCATTGTTATCCATCAGTTGATCTTGACTTAATGAATGTTACGCTGTTTTTATAGCCTTTATATATATATATATATATATATTTCATTACACATAAAACGGCGTTTATTCACCAGACACGACGCAAATATCAATGTATATCTCATATCAAACAATAAATATGTGCGTTCAACAAAGTTATCTAAAGAATTCTTGTGAAAAAAGCACATATTTAATTTTAAACCACAAAACTTGTTCTGCAACTTGCCACTTTTCAATTGTCAATGTATATGTGACGGTTATAGTCTGTCCAGCAGTTCTCTCCATAGGCCACGGGGAAATTATTCGATCCCTACTTATACGCATTTTAGGACAATAATGCAACCGAACCACATAATCGGTTTACTTCACCGTGTATCATCTGGATCCTTAAATGATTATTTTACGTTATAAGTAGTTTAGCGATGACATGCTCGTGCAGTCATATGACAGCTCATCCCGCCAGATTTAATATATGGCCAAGGCTTTAACGTTATCTAGGTGTCCTGCAAACAAGTCAACGGAGTCTGTAACGTTACACTCTCGAAGCATTGCATCCGAAATAATGCTGCACTCACAGTGACCATCAGAGGCTGAATGCTGAGACACACCGTTGCATATTTGCAGAATGAATGTCCGAACATAACGCTTTAAATGTATTTAGTCACATGTATATATACATTACACACCCACACAAAGAGAAACTACGTGGATTAAACAGTTATTCGTTTGGGACAGAATTCCTTGAAATACAAAATGCACGGTGCATACAGTTCTATTTCGAGACTCGGTTTGCACACATACTCTAAATCAAGCGGAATACAACACATTTTCAAAAAAGAGCGAAAATAATGTTTATAATTACTTACGATTTCAGCGGATTCTGAATGACAGTCGCCATTTTGCCACACTGTAACCTAATATTCCAAATCTCTGAGTTCTTTGGGATCCGTGTGAAAGGAAAGCAGCCAATACGGACCTCAGTGTCCGGCAGTCTGGCCAATACAATACTAGGAATCAGAATCTGGGCGTAGCTTCCAAGAGCTGTCAAAATTATAAAAATTACACATTTACTTAGACTATTTGCTTGGCTGCAGAGATAAAGTGATGCTATTTATGCAAATTGCATATATATATATATATATATTGTTTTTAATTATTATTATTTTTTACATTCAGGCACAGAATAAGAGTCTCCTGTAGTCTTTACTAAATAGCCTTCATCTGACCGTTTTAACTAGATCTTTGTATTCTTGCAGCTTGCTCCAGAATTTGCTTGGTGAATTTTATATTGCCTATTTTAAATATAAAAATGTAAACAGTCATAATTCAAATATTAACAATATTAATATAATGAAAACAATTAAAATAAACACTGTATATTTTTGTTAGACATGTTGTTAAATTGTTATAATTTTATACATTTAAATACATCAAATACATTTAATCGTGATATACAAATTTTTATTTTTATTCATTCGTTTAGCAACGAGACCCCAATGAACGAGACCAGCATGTAAAGTGATTGACAGCTCATTATCCAATCACATTATTTCATTATTGAAAAGTCTCAGAGGTCCACCATTGAACAGTAAGGAGGCGGGTATTCATGAGGAAATCGAGTTTCCAAACAGGAAGTCAGCACGATTGGCATCTATTTCAGGTAAGTTTATTATGACTTTCCTTTTTACCTACAGTTGATATGTATGTAATGTATGGTATATACCTAATAAGTTACGTCGATCAATAAATATGTGAGTACTTGTCTGTGAAAATAACCGTTAACTTAAATGAACGAGCCACGTGAATGTTCATGAGTAGTCTTAGCATGTTAGCTCCTTGTTCAACTCGATAACAAATCAGTGTTTTTCATCAGTGGCCACTGTCTTAATTAATAATGCTCCAAAAATGTTTAGTTTCATATGTTCTAACACCAAAAATGAATATACACATTTTCCTCTTTATTTGAATATAAAGGTATTAATCTGATTGAACTAATTTATCAGATATTCTGGCATGACTCCTGAGAAATAGAAATGAAGCGGGGATATGAAGCTCGAGGCAGGGACCGTCACCGACACCGACACCAGTCACAGTGGCGGAGGAGACAGCGTTCAGCCCACGATGAGCAGGAATATAGGCAAGTTAATTAACACGGACTGAGTCTGATCACCTTTCAAATAGACGCTCCTCAAAGTGAAACTATGAAACATTTACTCCCCTCATGCTGTTCCATACCTGTTCGTCTTTTTCTGAGGAAGAATGACAGCCTCGGTATTATTCACTTTCATTGTTTGGAAAAAAGACGCAATCAAAGTGAGTGATCATGTCCTTCTGCAACGTCTCGTTTTGTTTCACAGAAGAAAGTACGTCATACAGGTTTGGAACAACATGAGGGTGAAATTGATTTTTTTTTAGTGGACCATCACTTTAACTAACATATATGTTGCATTTCAAATCAATGCATGTGTTCATACTAAGTAAGTAAGCAGTTTTGGCTGTTCAGTTCTATCTTCAGATTTTTTATTCATATTATTTTTTAGTTATGCTTGTTTTGTATTTATGTTAGCTGTTACCATCAACAAGCATTCATAACATCAGTCCTTTTCTAGGTCCGAGAGCACAGCAGGTGATGCAGGTTCGTCCTCTGCATCCTCATCTGCACCAGGTGAACTTTTACTTTGCATTATCCCTCTGCACATCTTTCTGTTATAGCAGTCAAAAATGATTCACTTAGCCATTAACCATTATCACTTTTAGAGCTGCCAGGCTTCTACTTTGACCCAGAGAAAAACCGATACTTTCGTTTGTTGCCCGGACACAACAACTGTAACCCTTTGACAAAAGAAGGGCTCCAGAAAAAGGAAGAAGAGAGAAAGAGAGCAGCACTGCTTGCAGAGGATGATGCTCCTAAGAAGGTGAGCTGGGGAAGTACTGGATATGTCCGTACATGTATTTTATGTGGACGTTCCTCACTGCTACATTTTTGCAGTAAATTCCAGCTGTAACATCATTATTTAAGAGATGTCTTTTGACGTTTTGTTCAAATGCATATCTGCAGTAGTTGGATGGGTTTTGTAGGTAATAAATAATTGTACTGATTTGTTATCAAGCCTATTGAGATGTAACTTTCTCCTTGATTCTCCCTGGTGTGTTCAGAAAGCTAAAAAAATACAAAAATGGTGTGCACATCCCAAACACCCAAATTGGGCTCAGGTGCAGGACAACTAAGTGATATAAACAAATAAAGAAGTGTGAAGTCCGCACACTGAAAAATACTGCTCCAAAAGAATTTATTAAAAGGCAACGTTTCGACCTATATATATATATATATATATACACTCACCGGCCACTTTATTAGGTACCCCATGCTAGTAACGGGTTGGACCCCCTTTTGCCTTCAGAACTGCCTCAATTCTTCGTGGCATAGATTCAACAAGGTGCTGGAAGCATTCCTCAGGGAGTTTGGTCCATATTGACATGATGGCATCACACAGTTGCCGCAGATTTGTCGGCTGCACATCCATGATGCGAATCTCCCGTTCCACCACATCCCAAAGATGCTCTATTGGGTTGAGATCTGGTGACTGTGGAGGCCATTTTAGTACAGTGAACTCATTGTCATGTTCAAGAAACCAATTTGAAATGATTCGAGCTTTGTGACATGGTGCATTATCCTGCTGGAAGTAGCCATCAGAGGATGGGTACATGGTGGCCATAAAGGGATGGACATGGTCAGAAACTATGCTCAGGTAGGCCGTGGCATTTAAACGATGCCCAATTGGCACTAAGGGGCCTAAAGTGTGCCAAGAAAACATCCCCCACACCATTACACCACCACCACCAGCCTGCACAGTGGTAACAAGGCATGATGGATCCATGTTCTCATTCTGTTTACGCTAAATTCTGACTCTACCATCTGAATGTCTCAACAGAAATCGAGACTCATCAGACCAGGCAACATTTTCCAGTCTTCAACTGTCCAATTTTGGTGAGCTCTTGCAAATTGTAGCCTCTTTTTCCTATTTTGTAGTGGAGATGAGTGGTACCCGGTGGGGTCTTCTGCTGTTGTAGCCCATCCGCCTCAAGGTTGTGCGTGTTGTGGCTTCACAAATGCTTTGCTGCATACCTCGGTTGTAACGAGTGGTTATTTCAGTCACTGTTGCCCTTCTATCAGCTCGAACCAGTCTGGCCATTCTCCTCTGACCTCTGGCATCAACAAGGCATTTCCGCCCACAGAACTGCCGCTCACTGGATGTTTTTTCTTTTTCGGACCATTCTCTGTAAACCCTAGAGATGGTTGTGCGTGAAAATCCCAGTAGATTAGCAGTTTCTGAAATACTCAGACCAGCCCTTCTGGCACCAACAATCATGCCACGTTCAAAGTCACTCAAATCAACTTTCTTCCCCATACTGATGCTCGGTTTGAACTGCAGGAGATTGTCTTGACCATGTCTACATGCCTAAATGCACTGAGTTGCCGCCATGTGATTGGATGCTTAGAAATTAAGTGTTAACGAGCAGTTGGACAGGTGTACCTAATAAAGTGGCCGGTGAGTGTATATATATATATATATATATATATATATATATATATATATATATGTGCCTGATGAAGACCTGAGGGTCGAAACGTTGCCTTTTAATAAATTCTTTTGGAGCAGTAATTTTCAGTGTGCGGACTTCACACTTCTTTATGTGTTCAGAAAGCTCCCAGGACAGGGATGAATTCTGCACTGCTGTTACAGAAGAGACATCTGGGTCTGCTGCCCCCAAGCTCTTATTCTAGGTATTGCATAAAATAATGTTTTATGAATACTTATTTTTTTTTTTTTTTTTTTTTTTGATATTTTGTATTCTTTAAAATTAATTTGATTTCAAGGCTGTTCTCATTTTGCAGGCTGATCCATGAAGTGAAAGTCAGTGGGATGCAACGTCACAGGCTGGAGGTGCAGAGCTCCAACTCCACCTGCCCAAACACTGACAACTTTCATCTCATTGTTGTAAGGCTCTTGTTTAATGGGAAAAACTTGAAGACTTAGAAAGAAAACAATGATTTCTGAGACCACTCCCTCTATTTAAATGTATTCTCAGTGGAAAAACAGAATGTTATGCTGAGGTCAGGAATCTTGAGAACAGTCAAGCCATTTTTTGGTTAGCTTTGTTTTCATGGAAAAGGGGTTGTTGGCAGGTGTTACTGGAGGTTTTGGCCTCCAGTTGTCTATTCTTTGTAAAACTAGCAAGAAGGAAGATTAAGCTTTGGCGGTGATCGTGTTTTACAGTCTGACTTTCTTTTTTTTTCTGGATGCATCTTATTAGGCAGATTCAGCTTGTGAGAGGGTTTTCACAGTGAATGACGTGTCGCACGGAGGCTGCAAGTATGGCATTATGAATTTCCATGGCTGCAGAAAAGGCTCTCTGTCAGTGGAGATGTGCGATAATCTTTATTTTACTAACCGCAAGGTAAGCTGGGTAGTTTAAAATGAATTCCTTCCACCAATGAAAAGCAAAACAAGACCTTTTTGTAATAGTGATTTCGTAATGAACAAATGTAATTTTGTTTCAGGTAAACTCTGTATGCTGGGCCTCTGTGACGCATACAGACTCGCATGTTCTGTATCCTTCAAACATTTCAGATTCTAGAAACTAAAGCTTCAATTATGTTTTTGATTTATTTTGAAGCTGTAGATCTGTGTTGTGGTTTTACTAGATACACACTAACGGTGTGTCAGTTTTCAGCAATTTTCATAACCAGTTCTTAAAATAAACGATTAATTAATCTTTAACATTGTGTGGAAGAGGAGGACTACAAATACCATATGCTTATGAAATGCGAGTATTGGTATTTCCCTTTTAAATTTCATTCCACTGTATACTTTTAGAGTAGGTTTAGTATGACTTTTATTGTTTAATGTAAAAAAGTATTTCTCTTTGTGAAATACTTTGAATGGATGCCAAATGATAACTCTTTGTATGAACCTGCGTATCATATTTCACTACACTAGTCACTGTGCATTTTTAGATGAGCATACCTGCATGTTTACTCTAGTAAATACAATTAATCAAATACCAAATTTTTCTTGACGAGGGTTTTCAGGTTGTGTTTGGTGGGCATTTCTCAGACGCCAGGCTGTGTAAGCTTATTACCTGCTTCTCTTTTCAGCAACTTCAATCCAGGTTCAAATCTTTACCCAAATTTTGAAAAAAACATTTATTTGGTTTCCCTCTATCACGATGAAATGACTTGGCTTCTTTTTTCTTCTTCAGATCAACCAGGGATGCTATGCAGTTTTAAGATCTCCACAGCTTGGTCATGTGCATGGTGTCTCAACCCTCAGGCTGATAAAACCTTCAGCACTGGTGAGTTCTTGAGTCTGTATATTTGTATGAGTTTGTATACATTTCTGTGTGTGCTATTGGAATGAATGTACACTATACTGCTGGTTTTTTTTTTTTTTTTTTTTTTTAAGAAAATGCTCACCATGGCTGCATTTATTTGATCACCAATACAGTAAAAAAAAGTGTTTTAATTTTAAAATTAATGTTTTTGCATGTTAACATATTTGAAAATGTAATTTATTCCTGTGACGGCAAAGCTATATTTTCAGCAGTCATTACTCCAGTCTTCAGTGTCACATGATCCTTCAGAAATCATTCTAATATGCTGATTTGGTGCTCAAGAAACATTTATTATTATTTGAAAACCGTTTTGCTGCTTAATATTTATGTGGAAACTTTGATGCATTTTTTTCAGGATTCTTTGAATAGTATTTATTTGACTATTTGTTTTATAAATGTCTTCTTTAATGTCACTTTTGAGCAATTTGATGTATCCTTGGAGAATATAAGTATTCATTTCTATAAAACAATAAAATCTTACTGAGCCCAAACTTTTGAACAGTGGTGAATATGTAGGCTATATATTTTTTATATGTTCACCTAGGCCTTTCTCGACGAGTGATTGTTACGGATGCTGTGACTGGACGCAGAGCAACATACCTCGCTGGAAGTGATGTTCTAGCTCAGCAGTTTGCCCTAAGGGTGAGAAGAGAACATTGCCTGAAAAGTGAAAGTTCATTGTGTTTAAGTCGGGACATGGCGCAGTAGTAGTACACATGCCCTATTGCCATATATAATCTCTCTCTGTCTGTCTCCTCCCACTTTCCAGTCTCCCCCAGTTTGACTATAATTATTAGTTTGACTACTATTAAAGGGTTAGTTCACCCAAAAATGAACATAAACAGCATCAGAGACTGACACGGAAGAGAAGAATTTGTTGAATAAAGTCGTTATTTGTTTTTTGCGCACAGAAAGTATTCTTGTCACAAAATTAAGGTTAAACCACTGTAGTCACATGGACTATTTTAACAATGTCTTTACTACCTTTCTGGGCCTTGAAAGTGGTTATGACATTGCTGTCTAGGGAGGGATCAGAAAGCTCTTGGATTTCATCAAAAATATCCTAATTTTTGTTCCGAAGCTGAATGAAGGTCTTACAGGTTTGGAACGACATGAGGGTGAGTAATTAAGGACAACAGAATGTTCATTTTTGGGTGAACTATCCCTTTAAAGGTGCTCTGAGTCATTTGTACCTCTTTATAAAGGTTTACACATAAAGAAATTAATAATTTGTAATAAGTCCTGCATCCAAGCCACTAAGTGTCAAAACAAGTCCAAGATGACAATGCAACATGATAAAACTTGAGTGTAACTTTAAATGCATAATAGCCCTAAATACAAAGTTAAAGCAGAATTTTAATAATAAAGAAAATCACTTTACAATAAGGTCATAATAGTTAATGCATTATCTAATAATGAGCAATGCATTTGTCACGGTATTAATGAATATTGTTAACCTTAGTTTATAGAAATACAACTGTTCATTTTTAGTTCATGTAAGCTCAGGTCCATTTAATTAATATTAACAAATACAACTAAGTGTACAACTGTTAACTAATGAAGTTAACAAATAGATCCTTACTGTAGATTTTAAAACTTACCAAGATTTTAAAAGTAGTTTATGGTTTATAGCAATGTTTGATTGATTAAAAAACATATCTATTTAAAAACAAACAAAAAAAAACTTTTTTTTGCAAGGAATCCATTTTCTTGACTCTAAAAATTAACATTCTGTACAGGAAAGTTTTGTAAATTTTATACATTTTAGTTACTTCTGCATGTGAGATATATGTGGGACACTTGTGTCATGCATCTCATATTTTAGGCTCCGGTGCTGTTCAACGGCTGTCGCTCTGGAGAGATCTTCAGCATTGACCTGCGTCAGCGTGACAGGGGTCGCAGTCACGGTTGGAAGACCAGCCGCTTCTACCAGGAGTCAGCCATCACCTCAGTCCAACTGCTACAGGATGAAAACTACCTCCTCGCTGCTGACATGCTGGGCAATGTCTGTCTATCATAAACAACTACCAACCATCATGCTAATATAGGTTCAGCTAATAACATTTAGAGCACTCAGGTATGGATTACCCGATCTTTATTCTCCCTTCATATCGTCACTGAACAGATCAAGCTGTGGGATATCCGTGCCAAGCGGTCCGTCAAACAGTATGACGGACACCACAATGAATACGCCTATCTACCCATTCATGTCAATGAGCCAGAAGGATTGCTTCTTGCTGGTACATCTTTTTCATATAACCCACATATGATCATGTAGAGCTTGTTCAGTTGTTTTGCAATGCTTATACCACATCTCCTGTGTACCGTTCGCAGTGGGTCAGGACTGCTACACCCGGCTTTGGAGCCTTCATGACAGCCGTCTCCTCAGGACGATCCCCTCGCCTCACCCTGCAGGGAAGGACTCAATCCCAAATGTAGTGTTTTCCTCCCAGCTGGGTGGTAGTAAAGGACTTCCTGGACTCCTTATGGCTGTTCGTCATGATCTGTACTACTACTCTTACAACAAAGACTATCAGGATGGGCTGACACTGGCGGGTCAGTGCTAATATTTACCCTCTGAAAACAAGTACAAGGCTGCTGTGGAAAATGATCTGTTGTCATTTTTATTGTCATTTTATTTTATTTGGTCATTTTACTGGCCAAAAATGTTGCCATTTATACCATCTGCCTTTTTAAAAAGTAATATATTGATTAGACTGTGAGGAATTCAGAATACTTGCTTGTCCATTATATCATCAATAGATTGATTTCAAAAAAAGCTTTAGATATCTAAATTATAGTCACATATAGCCACTTGAAACATACCTCCTAAAAGTGCAATTTCATTGTTTATGGTTGTTTTTGAAAAAAAAAGAAGGATTTTACTTGAATTATGCTGGAACTTTTTGTAAAATAAGAGGGAAATTGTTCAAAATAAATCCAAACTTTGTTTATCTGTAGTTCGAATCTCAACATGAATTTAACTGTTTTTGTTCAAACAAAACCACATTGACTTTCATTTATTGGGCAAAAAAAACATTGACACAAAATGTTTTCTTTTGTGATCTATAGAAGAAAAAAGTCGTAGTGTTTTGAATTGTAACAACATGAGGGTGAGTAAATGACAGAATTTCTAGGTGAACTGTCGCTTTAGGTACAGCATATACTCATTTTTATACTGTATGTAAGCCACACTCTTAGAGGTACTCAAGTTTAATTTAATTAGCATACAAGGTGCAAAGAATATAAAATGATATTCATGTTTCTTATGTCTGTGTCAGTCATGTTCAATCATCCACACATGCCTCACTGAGTCTATAATAACCTGATTCTACATAATGAGTGTTCGATTGGCCAAGAAAACCATTTTACTGACAGTGATCAACACATACCAGGGGCTAAATAAGAACAACTACCATATAATAGCACGCGATTTATGAGAATTAGCATCTCTTGACAGATAATGCAGAGCCACATCATTTGTGCGGTTTCATCATGGCTTTGTGTTAGGAGTAACTGTGCAGTTTGATTCGGCAACCGTGGTAGTGATTCTTCAAAAAGGTCCATTTTAAAAACTTCAAACAAAAACTTCCCGCCCGAGTACACACATTTAAAATAAATGATAAAGAAGAAATTTAAATTATGCTGAACAATATCAGATAGTGTAGCACGATCATGTGAGATCAGATTCATAATAGGCAGCAAATAATTGAGACAAACAGTAATGAATCTAAAATGTACACTAGGGTTTCTTTGAGGGTAAAGGAATGCAAAACAATATGGACAATTTTGCATTTTAAAAGCAAATTGACAGGGTAAATCTTTAGTAAAACCGAAAATTGAGCAACAGTACGGTAAATAATATTACTAATAGTTGTGCACCGGTCTAATGTCTCCTGTAGAGGCCTTATGTTAGCTGCCTTTACCCACAGGAAGGTCCATATGGATCTGCAGCCACAGAATTTGAACGCCCATAATTCATATCTTGCACATTTAACACTTTTTCTATCACATTTAAGCCCATTCTGCAGGTTTTCCCGAAAAACATTTGTTCCATCTGGGCCTGCCCACAGGTAACGTATTGCATGGTAGACAAAGGATTGTCAAAGGTCTGACATACATTTATTTTCCTGATGGATTTAACCTCTGAAAGAAGAAAATACATAGGCCATTACATATGTTGAACTGTGAACAGCTCATGTAGAGTTGAAGAGCATGACGTGAATGAAATGTTGGGACAAAAAGCAGAGATGTTCCTCTTGTTTTCAACAACCAATAGGATTTATCGGTTTGAGAGTAGCACTTCTTCCCTCCCAACCTGTACTGAAGCACTGTGGCCACATATGGGGGTGTCTTATAATGCGGAGAGCTGTCCGGTTCTGCTAGAGCTCTCCAGATTTTTGGTTGCAGGTGATGCACACCCGCACAGGATGGTCCCAACCCCTGGAGGGCACGGCCCGGCGATCAGGGGAGCAGTCGTTACATACTCCTTGTCCACATGCACGGCAGTGATGGATAGAGAGACGGGCGTTAAACTCGCGCTGGCACTGGGAGCAACAATGGATGTCTTGGTCAGGGACCCAATATGCTGGACGGGCGGCATCTTTTACCAGACCTAGTAAATACACAGGTGCATTTGATCATCTGTGTATGCTGATATTCCAGTGCAAGTATGTAACTATGATGAAATTAAAATGCTTAAACCTAAAGATCACATAACAGGTTAGTCAAACAAGCCAAAGGTTTAAAATGTATATTAATAATACATCTCCTTAATTATAAAAACATTATAATAGATTGATACTGTATTTCCAGTGTGAATTCATATTAGTATTAACATATCATGTTAAGTGTTTTCATGGGCTCATAAAACTGAAATACAGTGAAGAACTCACCAAGAGGGATGTCTATGGCAGTGACTACCGCTCCTAATGTGTTCTGAACAGCTTCTCCCACCTTCCTGGCAATCAGAGTCCCACCTTCTTCCTCTTCCAGCGCTGCATCCAGCAGTTCTGTGTGAGATCATAATTTTGATATTATTCATGTTATGAATTGAAATAATTCCATTGTCACAACATGTTGCAACAGTGTCTTATACTAAGTTTGTAATACATTCAAAATGATTGAAACCAGTAAATCAAGCTTTTTTTTTTTTGTTGCTTTTTTTTTTTTACAATATTTAGTAATTTAAGACATTAATGATCTCATTGATAAAGGTATCAGATACATTTGCATAACTGCACAGTAGACTATAATAAAACAATATTTTTTTAATTTTGAAAGTATTACAGTATGCACTTTATTTTATATACTAAAAGAAATGATCTATCATCTATATCTATCCATCTATATATACACTCACCGGCCACTTTATTAGGTACACCTGTCCAACTGCTCGTTAACACTTAATTTCTAAGCAGCCAATCACATGGCGGCAACTCAGTGCATTTAGGCATGTAGACATGGTCAAGACAATCTCCTGCAGTTCAAACCGAGCATCAGTATGGGGAAGAAAGTTGATTTGAGTGACTTTGAACGTGGCATGATTGTTGGTGCCAGAAGGGCTGGTCTGAGTATTTCAGAAACTGCTAATCTACTGGGATTTTCACGCACAACCATCTCTAGGGTTTACAGAGAATGGTCCGAAAAAGAAAAAACATCCAGTGAGCAGCAGTTCTGTGGGCGGAAATGCCTTGTTGATGCCAGAGGTCAGAGGAGAATGGCCAGACTGGTTCGAGCTGATAGAAGGGCAACAGTGACTGAAATAACCACTCGTTACAACCGAGGTATGCAGCAAAGCATTTGTGAAGCCACAACACGCACAACCTTGAGGCGGATGGGCTACAACAGCAGAAGACTCCACCGGGTACCACTCATCTCCACTACAAATAGGAAAAAGAGGCTACAATTTGCAAGAGCTCACCAAAATTGAACAGTTGAAGACTGGAAAAATGTTGCCTGGTCTGATGAGTCTCAATTTCTGTTGAGACATTCAGATGTTAGAGTCAGAATTTGGCGTAAACAGAATGAGAACATGGAACCATCATGCCTTGTTACCACTGTGCAGGCTGGTGGTGGTGGTGTAATGGTGTGGGGGATGTTTTCCTGGCACACTTTAGGCCCCTTAGTGCCAATTGGGCATCGTTTAAATGCCACGGCCTACCTGAGCATTGTTTCTGACCATGTCCATCCCTTTATGGCCACCATGTACCCATCCTCTGATGGCTACTTCCACCATGTCACAAAGCTCTAATCATTTCAAATTGGTTTCTTGAACATGACAATGAGTTCACTGTACTAAAATGGCCTCCACAGTCACCAGATCTCAACCCAATAGAGCATCTTTGGGATGTGGTGGAACGGGAGATTCGCATCATGGATGTGCAGCCGACAAATCTGCGGCAACTGTGTGATGCCATCATGTCAATATGGACCAAACTCCCTGAGGAATGCTTCCAGCACCTTGTTGAATCTATGCCACGAAGAATTGAGGCAGTTCTGAAGGCAAAAGGGGGTCCAACCCGTTACTAGCATGGGGTACCTAATAAAGTGGCCGGTGAGTGTGTGTATATATATATATATATATATATATAGAGAGAGAGAGAGAGAGATACACACTACTATAAAATAATAAATATATTTTAAATTGTAATAATATTTCACAATATTACTGCATTTTTTGATTAAATAAATGCAGTCTTGGGGAGCATAAGAGACTTCTTTCAAAAACTTTTTTTAAAACCTTTTTTTAATAGTGTATCTCTCTCTCTCTATATATATATATATATCACAATTAATTCATATATGAATTATTGAATATGATCTAAAATGTTTCTGTCTGCCATTCAAAGTGTAGTATACCTTCTGGGATGCCTCTGTTTTGAAAGCAGGCATCACAGACTCGCACAGGTGCCAGGCCCCAGCCTCTCTCAGGAACTGGTCGTGTCTTAGAGGAGCAACCATCACAGAAACCTTCTCCACAGGCCCGACAGTGGTGCTTTGTATCATTATCCTGGAATCCCTCTCCACATTTATTACATCTCTGAAAAAAATAAAATAAACTCTTTCTTCAGTAAAGACTTATCTTCATTTAAAAGGCAAATTAAAAAAGAACCTAGCATTAAAACTCACAAGGATGAGAGAATTGGGCTTCCAGTAAGTAGGAGCAATTTGGTCTGTTAACCAGGCGGTGACGGCTTTGGCAGGCTTGACGCTTAGCTCTGAAACAGACTGAGCCATATAGTTCACACCATCCAGCAGCCTCTGCGCAGCATTGTTGTTGTCTTTCAGGAATCCATCAGACTGAGACGGAATTGTGAAAGTGAATAAAACTTTGCTATTTAAATGGAGGAAACATAGGAAAAAAACAGCAGATTTCTCTCACCCCTGGCCAGACATGCTGGATCTCAGTCCGAACCACTGTATCAACAGGGTCCTGGTTCCCATACCAGTATTGCCTACTTCTATATATCACAGAGCAGTTTGGACACTCAATCACATATCTGCAAAGAAAAACCCCAACTCAGTCCCGTATGTCTAAATGAACTGAAGTAAATGCACCTTTGTACAACTATAATCCAATAACACCACTCACCCGGACCAGGCGTATATGGCCAAACCAAACCAAGGTGAGTCAGAGGATGCCGTCGTCTTTGGAACCACAATCACCTCTTTGCCACTCTCATAACAAGCCTGGAATAGCAGGTTAACACATATTGTCAGACCTGGGCATTCACAGAATTTGTATAGCTGGTAAGGTCAGGTCATGTGTTGCATTGTTTAGGACCGACCTTGCAGGTGTAGATGCGATTATCGTAGTGGGCTGAATAGCGGCAACGGTGTTTAGCCTCATGCA